AAATATTTGTTAAACATTCTATTTTACTTATTTGTTTGCTTGCTTACTTGCTTGCTTTGGGAGTTGTGCTCTTTAATCTTTATTCCACATTCATCGTAATATTTTATTTATTTTTCTTCTTTTTACTTGATTTTTGCATGATAATTCTTTCATAATGTTTTTCTAAGTGTATTAGTGAAAATATCATACATTTAAAATGTATAAAATTATAATATATGGAAAAAAAAAATTGTTCAAAACTAAAACTACTTTAAGAAAAAATAAAATAAAAATGAAATTGTTTAAAATAGAAAATGATTTATTTATTTATTTTTAAAATAAACAGTTATATAAAAAATAAAAGTACAAAAACTAAACCTAAAATATAATATAAAAAATATATGAATTATAGGATTTTCAAGAAGTGAGACTCACAAACAAATTTTGTAAAATCTTATCTATTCATATAATTTTTGTGTATTTTTTTTATACTTTTAATCCCGAGAATGATATTGAAATAATCTGCACTTATTGCATTAGATTCATCTAATGGTTTTAGCAAACACAGATGTAATAAATTTCATAACACAAAACACGAATAATTGCGAGACAAAGTGTCCAAAAAAAATGAAAGTAACATTCAATGATGATTTAGAAGCAGATGTGACGTTTTAATTGGAGGTATAACCAAATAAATCGTCATAAAAGGGGAAGACGACCTTTATTTTTCATCACAACAATTACACAACTCAATATATAATTTTAGTGTCTCTCACTCTTCCACGCTTCCAATTCTCTATCAATATTAGAATGAATGTATGAACCAAAAAAAAAAAAGGAAAAAATTTTGCTCAATTCTATTAATTAATAATATTAGACTTCAATGGCCGGGCTTCTAATATTTGTTAGTGATTAAGGCTAAGTTATTTAGTTTCATCTATATTCACTTATAATTTGAGAGTGAACACGTGTTAAGCCTCTACACAAACACTCGACACATTTTTTAGCATTATTAATGAAATACACCGTATAATTTTTTTTCTATTTTTTTTTCCGCAATTACAACCTGTTATTTTTTAATAAGAATTTATATTTGTTTCAAATATTTTTTTAATATACAAATTATTTTTTTTAGATTTTTTATAAAAATAATTAATAATCCCATCACTAACCAATGTGTATAGGAGAAATTGAAAAATATAACAGTAGGTATAGGAGAAATCAAAAAGACTTGTCGGTTGAGAGAAGTCAATAAATACTGAGTTTTTTTTTTTTTAAATCAAAAAATTAGAAAATTAAGATTAAGATATTGTAGCTCCCACAAGGTTTGTGGGTTAAAAACCTCATTTTCCTTATATAATATATAAATAAATACCATAATTTTTTGTAGTTTTAAAAAGTATAAATATTTTGTTTAATAAAATTAATACAAAATAAAATAACATAAAATAAAATTTCTAATTACTCTTTTAAACAATAATAAAATTACATAAATTATTAATTGAAATAAATTTCTAACATCATTATAAATTGTTAATTGACCTGATAATTTATTAATAAAATGAGTTATTTGTTATGCGATTAAAAATTTTAATGGATAAGATATAATTTTTAAAATTACAAAATACAAATCATATTGTCGTATTATATAAAAATTTCAAATATATATTTGTAGATTACCTTATTATTTTTTGTTCTTAGCGTTTTTTTGTTTTTTAAAGAAAAAAAATGAAACATTAGAACATTTGTAGTTTTATATAATTTTTATTTTGTTACAATTTTTTTATGAAAAATTGTTAGTCTAATTTTAAGAGGGCAGAAGGCATTAAGTTTAGTGAATATTTTTACCGGTGAGATATTTATTTTTTGTAAAATGATTTGGTGAGAAGTTCTTTTGTTGTTTTGGGGGACATTTTATTTTCAATTTACCTTTTAATCTATCTGTTTAATTTTTTCAACTATCAGTTTAAATTTTTTTTTTATCTATTTAATTTGCCTTATCTGTTCAAATATTTGTTCAAATTTTATTATCTGTTCAATTTTTTTACTTATCTATTTAAATCTATCTGTCCAAATTTGAGTATCTATTTAAACTTTTTATCTGTTCAAATCTTTGTTATTGAAATACACCAAACCACTATCTATTCAAATTTGGAATAAATCTGTCCAAATTTTATTATCTATTTAAACTTTTTTAGATGGCTCTCTTATCTTAGCTTCATATTCTCTCTCTTCTTCATTTTCAAATTTTATTATCTATCAATTTTTTTTTTTTAATCTGTTGCGATCAATTTCATCATTATCATCAACAACTACTAAATATAAAAATAATAATAATAATAATAATAATAATTAAAATTAAAAAAATTTGAACAGATTTGAGCCATTTTTGAATAGATCTTAGCCATTTTAAACAGATCTGAGCCATTTTGATATATCTGTGACTGTTAGGACAAATTTGCCGTATATTTTGTCCAAAATTCAAAAGTATAGAAAAAAGAAGAAAATCTCAACAATATAAGACTATAGCCATTTTAATCCTTTTGTCAACAGTCCTCCATCAAACAAACAATCATTTCAACGATCCACATACACACTGAAATTTCAATAAAGATGATCGAAATCAAAAAAAAAAAATTCAAAAAAAAAACACTAGAAATGTACTGACTTGTCCTGATCGCCTTCGTAGTAGAACATCGCGAAAGGTATGACGAAGAAGATGAGAAGAGGAGATCAGGCGTCGGCCTTTGTGCAGTCGTAGCCGCGGCGGCGGAAGACTTTCTGCGAGTGTACGCCGAAGTTCCGCGAACTGTGTGGAGCATCTCTCGACGGAGTTGGTTTTCCAGCACGACGGAGAGGCCGAAATCGGAGATTTTCAATACCCTAGCCTTATTGCTCCGTCGTCATCGTCCTCGAAAAGCCGACTACGATTTCTGCTAGACCTGAATCGTCCGGCGACCTGCTCATGACGATTCGAGCGATGGCGTTTTGGGAGACGACGGCGTCGTTGGGGACGGTGGCGACGAACCCAGGAAGAGAGAGAGAGAGAGAGAGAGAGAGGGTGACAGAGAAAAGAAATGACGCGTGAGATCTGAAATAGGGACAAAAATAAAACGCATGGGAGGGGGCAGAGTGGTGAAGGGATATAATGCAAAAGAGAAAAGATAGGGATCATGAAAAGACTTTCATGAAATTGATCATGAAAAATTTATGACTCTTGGATTATCTTGATTAGTGTGTGTTGTTTTATTTTAAGTGTAATCCAAAGGTCATAAATCTTTCATGATCATTTTCATGAAAGTTTTTTCATGATACGTAGTATTGCTCAATACAAAAATGCTTTAGAGCTCTAATATAGGAGCTCTAATACCTCTAATGGGAATGTGAGACTCACTCTGATGTGATGTTTGTGTCTTGCCTTATTATTATTTTTTTTTTATTGCTTGGACATATCACTAGAGCTCAAATTAGAGCTCTAGATTTAGAGCTCTCTAGCATCTCCCGATATAATATAACAACAATGGTAGATACCTCAAATTTTTGTGATTTAAATGACTCAAATTATTCAAAATGATATTATTTTAACAGATTTTAAGTGTAAAACGATGTCATTTTGACAGATTTAAATCATTTGAATCACAAAATTTTGAACTATCAAACATTTTTCTTAATGATGTCTTGAAAAGTTTGTAAAAAAATTAATTTTTTGATTTTTTAAGTTTATTTTATTTTTTTGCAAATAAAAAATGTAAGACGTGATGTAATAAAAAATGAGTAAAAAGTTAAAAATCGGCTTTTTTTTTTTTTTTTTTTTTTCCATTAAATTTCTACACGGACTAGTTTCTACAGGGTAGATATTTAAAAAAAAAAATTTAATTTTGATTTATAGATCAAATGATTTTTTTTTATTATTTATATATTTCTCAAAATATGGATTGTTTTTAGAAAAAAAATTCAAAAACAGTTTTCATAAATAATTTATCAAAACAATCCACCGTCATTCATTAATTTAACCCCGTCATTTATTAATCTTTTCTAGTTCAGACCTTCGTAACAAAATAAAAGCAATTGCAAATTAGTGGTAAGACAAAAAAATTACAAAATCATGAAAAAATTAATCACTTCAATTATTACAGTTTGCAAATTTTACCATTGATTTGTAATTTGTTTTGAAAATGAACAATATAAAATTTATACTATGTTTGGATCATGAATGATAAAGATTTAAAAAGAAAAAAAGAAAATGTAAGTGAAATCCATGATTTAAACCCTGAATGAAATTTATGATCCAAACATAATCTTAATAAAAAATAAACAGGGTGGTAACAGGATATCCAATAAGGTAGCTAACACATTGAGAGATTCAAGAATAATTTTAGTTAGCTTTTCAGCAGAGTAAAGATGCTTAGTGGAAAAAGAAAAAAAAAAAAAGGAAAAAAGAAAAAAAAAATCTTCGCAGAATCACAGTCAAAAAGAGAGTAGGCAAATTCATATTTGGCATCATGTCTACTATATTAAAGCATGAGTAGTTATTTTGAGTTGTATAGTACATTACAGAACTTATTTGTATGAGCTTAAATTTCAAAATTGATTAATCAAATGTGAAAGCAAAATAAAAACAAACGAAGAGGGCAAATTCATACTTCCTGTCAAGTGGTTAAAGCGCAAGAGGGGAATCAACATTGATATTGCGTGTTCCAGATGTGGAGAAGAAGAAACATTAGAACATGTATTCTTTTATGCTGTGTTTGGTTGGAGTTTTTGAGGTGGGATTTGGAAAAGGAATGAGAAATGTAATCCTATTTATGTTTGGTTATAATAAAAAATATATGGGAAAAGAAAGGGGGTGAGAAATAAATAAAGAAATAGGATACCTTTTAGGACATCAATTCTATTTTATAACCAACACAACCAAACATAGTTGGGATTTGAAATTCTATTAATTCTTTCTCCTTTTCCTTTCATTTCCATTTCCCTTTCCATTTCCCTTCCCAAAACCCCCAACCAAACACAGCGTTAGTGCCCTATAACCAAGCGAATTTGGAGAGGAACATCATTGGGACTAGATTTTTCATGGGGTCGCACAGTGAATTTTCCTCAATGGAATCAACAGTAGTCAATGCAAGTGAAATCCTATGGGCCATTTGGTTGCAACGCAACAGTTACTCTTTTGACAACATCCCCATGACAATATCAATTGCAATCCTATGGGCCATTTGATAGCAACACAACAGTTACTCTGTTGATAACATCCCCGTGACAATATCGCAAGCTATCAATGTGGCAACAGAACTGGGAAAAGGCACAAACAGAGGGCATTTCTTTAAACTAAATCTTTACCAAATGAGCACAATATCACATGAAAAAGATTTAGATGATCAAATTTTTCTTGCAAACTCCAATAATAACATGGCAGGAAATCAGATCTGGACCTTTGCACTGGATGGATCATGGAAGGCAGACAGAGGCACAGCTGGAATTGCTTGGGTCTGTCACAACCACAACCGTAACAAGATAGCGGAGCAGGCACAACAACTGCATCTACCATCCCCTTTGGCTGCGGAAGCAAAGGCGTGTTTTGAGGCGATAACCTGGGCAAGGATGCGGCAAATGGAATATGTTTTCATATATATGGATTGCCAAATTTTGGTTACTATCCTAAAAGACAAACAGCAACCAGACTGGGATGTAGAAAATATTATACCAGATATTAAGTTACTTAGCAAGTATTTTAGGTATCTTTGTATTGTAAAAGTTTCCAGGTATGTAATCCAACCAGCCCATCTGCTGGCAAAACATGTAAACTTTGGCTAAATACTATGGAATGTTTTTCTGGAAAATAAATAAATAAATAAAAATCATGAGTTATTAAATATTGAGACTATTATATGCATTACTTTTTGAAGTTTATGATCATAAGCATGAGTCAAATAATCTATACAAGAACACGAGACAAGTCTTTTAATAGAAATCCTCCATGGAAAATAAATATATACCTTTCACAAAACTACATATCTGGAAGAAAAAAAGAAGGAAAGATAAAATTTCAGAGCAATAAAAACAGACCTTTATATAAAAAGCAATATCTAAGCAAATATGAGTTGAATCAACTAACAAGTTACAACAATTATCAATAAAGCACATATATCAATGCAACAACTTGACTCATTATGATACCTTAGAAAATAAAGTAGCTCCAAAAAACCTAGGTGGTTACTTGGAAAATGAAGTAATTCCAAAAAATGCACGAAGCATTTCCTTTGACGAATTATCTAATCCATCGTTAGATAACTGAAAGATTTCTAGATGAATTGTATATACAACTTGTATCTTTGATTACAACCAAACCTTAGATTTATATAGCCCTAACTCCTAAACCACACAGGAGAATACAATCAAGCCTCTAATAGGATGGTGAATTGTATATACAACTTGTATCTTTGATTACAACCAAGCCTTAGGTTTATATAGCCCTAACTCCTAAACCAAACAGGAGAATACAATCAAGCCTCTAATAGGATGGTGAATTGTATATACAACTTGTATCTTTGATTACAACCAAGCCTTAGGTTTATATAGCCCTAACTCCTAAACCAAACAGGAGAATACAATCAAGCCTCTAATAGGATGGTGAATTGTATATACAACTTGTATCTTTGATTACAACCAAGCCTTAGGTTTATATAGCCCTAACTCCTAAACCAAACAGGTCAGTAAATCTCAACCACACAATGTAGCACTCTAGGAAACTTTAGAGAAATTTCACTCTAGAGGATCCTTGGTGCACCTAAACTAGATACACCTTGAATTAACTACGTGTAAGTGACAACATCTGGTGAAATACCTTTACCTATCATTTCCAAAAAGAGCTTGAAAGCCTCGGTTACTAGTCTGTCCTTGCAAAGGCTATCGATGACCATGCTGTATTGCACTAGTCCAGGCTCAAAACCTCCTATTTTTTCCATCTTTCTAAGCAAAAGAATAACAGCACTAGTGTTTCCAATTTTGCATAGTCCATTCATTATAATGCCACAAGAAATGACATTGGGTTGGAACCCATTCTCCACATTTTCATCAAAAAACTTTAGTGCGGAAGCCATGTTACCATTAAGACAAAACCCCTTGATAAGGGTATTGAAGGTTTTGGTGTCTGGTTCATAACCAAGTTTCAATATTTTCCCAAAAACAGAAAAACCCAAATCAACTCGATTCAAGTTACAGAAACAATTAATCACGATGTTAAGTGTACAAAAATCATAGAAATCCAATTTTGTAAACAGAGAAATCGCAGTGGAATAATGCTTTGATTTGCAATTGAAGTTAAGAGTTGATTGAATCGAAGAATTGAGGGCAAAGGTCGCATTCGAAGCATGTGATCGAACTGAGTTAGGGCATCGTCAATGTTAGCAAACCCGTATTGGAATTGGAAATTCTGTTTGGAAGACAAATTAAAGTGGGTTTGGGAATGAAATAAAGCTAAAACACAAGGGAATGAAGTGAGAATACCTTTTTGAAGATCACAAACACCACCTCTCAAAACCACTCTACTTTTGGGATTTTCTGCATCATCATCGTCAGCTTCTCTCTCCAAAACTCTCACTCTCTCCCTCACACTCGTATACGCGCACTAGTTTTTTTATTTTTAGTTTATTTTATTTTTATGCTCTAAATAGAGCCAAGATATTCCATAATTTTTCTTTTTAAATAATTCACCGATCGTTATTACTTAAAATATTGAAAAAATTACTAGTAAATCCTATATGGTAGAAAGTTAAACTATTTAATCCTACAAATTTTCTTATGCACCATTTAATCTCACTATCTACATCAGCAACATCAACAACATCATTAACATCATCAAAACATTAGCTACATTAGCAACATTAACTGCACCAATCGATAATATCAAACATTAACAAAACATCATAATCTTTAGCACTGGGATGGAACCCAAATCCAAAAGTGACCCTTTTCAATTTCGCACCCCTCTCATCCCACCATTTGTAACCCGGAATTCGACGAAACTGTTTAGTTGCAGGGTTACGGAGAAACAAAGGTTTCCTAAATTGAGATACACTGATACAAACTAGACCATTACGGATACCCACAATGTCTGGATCAGATTCCTGGGTCAAAAATGGGAAATCGAGATCGATGGGTGTATGAGATCTTGTGGCGGCGATAATGGCGGGTTTTGGGAGAGTGGCGGTGGCGGTGGTTCCATCGTCTCTGGTTTTCTAAGAAAAGAATTTGAAGGAGTTCAGAATTTAGAACACCAAGACATCCGAAGTTGAAATCGATCCATAAGAATATTTTTGAGTTTACAAATTAAGAACTTATCTATTCCACAACTACCAGAAAAAACAAAAGAAGTGGGTTGTTGTGAGTTGATGTTGTGATGTTTGATGATGATGTCATCGTCTCTGGTTTTCTAAGAAGAGAATTTGAAGGAGTTCAGAATTTAGAACACCAAGACATCCGAAGTTGAAATCATTTTTCATTCAATACGTTTAGGGTTTTCTCTGATTTGGGTATTTTTTATTTATAAAAAATATATATGAATTGTATAGATGACTTTTGATGATGATGTTTTGACGATGGCGATGAAGCTTGATGATGGGGATTATGTGTGTTGTTTTGATGATGATGACGTTTGATGTTGTTTTGATGGTATTGTTATGATGTTTGATGTTGTGATGTTGTGTTGTTAACGATGTGATGACGTTTGATGATGATAATGTTGTGATGTTTGATGTTGTTTTGATGATGATGTTTGTGATGTTTGATGTTGTTTTGATAATGATGTTTGATATTGATGATGATGTTGTGATGTTTGATGTTGTTTTGATGATGATGTTTGATGTTGTTTTGATGATGATGTTGTGATGTTTGATGTTGTTTTGATGATGATGATGTTGTTTTGACGATGATGATGTTTGATGTTTAATAGTCATTAACATTGGGATAGGACCTAACGGACCAAATGGGTTACAAGATACAAATTTGGGATTTATTGATGCATCCCCCTAAAATATTATCTATAGTTATTACTATTAAAAAAAAAAAAGGTAAATTACTAATACATATATGTGGAGATTTGTTTGAAATACGAATTGCTTTATATGATTTAAAAAATTATATTACACGCCTTCCCTTGCAAAGTCCAGCGATCATTATATTGTATGTGCGGATAGTAGGTTGAAACCCTTTAGCAGAAAGACTCAAGCAGATTTTCCTTGCATCACTGAGTTTCCCAGCTTTGCACATACTGTCAATTAGGTTATTATAGACAACAATATTAGGAACTAATCCAGCTTTTTCAATCCTTTCAAACAATGCCAATGCCTCATCGAGATGTTGGTTGTTGCATAGGCCATCCAGAAGAATAGAGTGTGTAAACAGATCAGGAATTTGGCCATGAGTTTGCATCTCATCAAGAAGCAAAAGTGCATCTATCTGGAAGCAATCTTTTTCTAGACATTTCCTTAAAGAGACTCATGGCTTCATCTATGTGATAATTTGAACCGTTCAATGTGTAGAACTCGTCGAGTATTATATATCTGTAAAAAATCACGTTGATCAGATATCGATAGCTATATGATCAAATCAGTTTCGTATTAAAAAAATTGGACGGTAAAAAAATTAACGGTTGACAAAAAACTGTTTTGATCACATAACTATCGGTATCCGATCAATGTGATTTTTTACAGGCATATAGTACTCAACGATTTCTACACAATGAATGGTTCAAATTATCAAAACGGGACCCGTGGTGGGCCTCCACGGGCGCAACAGCACGGTCCAGTCCGATCCCGGACTAGACAGAAGCCATACCCAAAAATAAAATAGACTTTTTAGCTTTAATAAGACAAAACATCACATTTAACTAATAATCATTACATTCTTTCTCTCACAAAAAGTTAAAAAAATCGAAAATCCTTCTCCAATCAGACTTTTTAATCCCAAACTAAAATAACTAAAAAAAATTAAAAAATCAAAAAATTAATCCACTTCCCAACCCAAGCGTAATTGATATGTTGTGCATATAGTACCACCGTTATACAATAATACAAGGCTGATCGCCTAATTTTACCACTTTTATTTCCCACTGTAGTTGACATTTCCCACGTCATTCTAGCAGCCACAATCCCATAGGGCACATTTCATATTCCGATATCAGGATCCGCTAGAATGGGATTCCTGAAGTGATCTCCTAAATGAAAGATTTAACGGTTTAAAATAAAATTAATCTTTGATAAGTAATTTCAAAAAAAATTAAAAAAAAATAGAGAGATCACACACTCTCTTTCTCTATAGTTCACTCGCTCTCCAACCCCTGTTGTCGGAAACAACTACTTCTCGTCGAAAAACCTCATTTTCGGCCACAAAATGACATTTCTCTCAACCTGATCTCTTTTCTCTATCTCAAAAATAACCCTAAAACATTAATTCTAACCCTAAAACAACTAATTCAATGATTCTAACCCTAAAACAACCAATTCAGTGATTTAATTCCAAACAGGAACAATTTAAAAAGAAAAAGAAAGCTATCTTCTTCAGAATTGAGTCACTTTTACAACAAGTTTTGCATAAAAAGAACAAACACAACCATCAAAAGAAAAGAATCAAAGCTACACAGTTACAAACCCACATAGAAATCGTTGGTCATATATCATTTTCATGTTATTTTCTAATATTATATAAGCATTGAACATTCAAATTGACATTCAAAGACCCCCAATTGCAAAATTGAAGTTGAATTAAGCAAATTGATACCTGTCATTCAAAAGATTCTTCACAGCAACACGAGTACTATCAGCTAATACACCACCATAGACGATACCATGACCACCTCCATCGATCACAGACAAGCCATTCGTAGCCGTCTCAAGCTCCCTGAATGTGTACCACCGCCCCCACCCTAGATGCAACACCTCCGGCATCGAACCGCTGTCTCCAAACGACGCTGTGCCGTTGCCGCTCATCGCTTGGCTCTCACCGCTCGACAGTCGATCAGAGAAGACGACCCTGTGCTCGGCCTTGCCGATATCGATTTGGATCTCCGACACGGCGATTGGGCGGTGATCTGGTGCGACGTCGTGGACAATCTCTTGGATTTCCTTGTAGACAACCGGAGTGAGGTCAAGCTTGTGGTGGTGGAGGAGCTTGTGGGATTTGCGGGGACGAGAGGTGATGCGAGTGAATTGTAGAAAGAGAGATCTCTCTATTTTTTTTTTTTTTTGAATTACTAACCAAAACGACGTCATTTTGGTTAGTTTTATTTTGAGCCGTTGGGTTTGATTTTGTACTTAAAAGTATTTAAACATTTTTTATTTGTTTTGTAAAAAAATTTAAAAAATTAATTTCATAAAAAAAAAAAAAATACTCACTATTTTTATGTGATTTATATATTAAAATAGAAATGATTTTTAAATTTTTTAAAAATAATATTTATTTTTATCAAATTAGTTTCTATTTTTTTATAAAAAAAATTCAAAATTTAAAAATTCAACCAAACAAAACACTAATTCAAATTATCATAATTTATATATAGTACACACTCCAAATAAAAGTGAATACTGCAGAAGGAATCGAATAAAATAATTTCCAACATTTTTATTTTACTGCCTGTTAATGAATGAAATGGAATTGATAGTCATTGGGGGTGTTTGTTTCAGCTTTTCAGAGCCAACTTATGACTTTTAGCTTTGAAAATTTTATTTTGAACTGTTTGATTAAACTTTTTTGAAACAGCTTCTGATTCTAACAGCTTATTTTAACTCAAAAAAACTGATTCTGAGAAGCTGCTCACCCCTTACTTCTGATTATCAGCTTCTGCTGTGGACATGTTAATTTATGGTTATACTCTTAAATTTTTTTTATTTTTTATTTTTTTAAAAATAGAAAAAGACTCAAATGGATTATAGATTATTATTATTATTTTTTATGAGAAATGTAGACAAACAAAAAATAAAAATTAATTGAAAAAGCTATTTCACAGTTTATTTAACAAACACTACTCAGCAACTTAAATCTATAATCCAACAGTTACACCAAACAGGTTAACAACTTCTGATTAAAGTCATAATCTATAGTCTGTTAAGCTATAATTTATAAGATGTTTTAACAACTACACCAAACGGGGCCATTGTATTCATATGAACTAGTCATTAGTTTAACTAACTAGCATTTTTATTTTCAGATTTAAAAACTAACATTCTGAAGCTAATTCATCAATAAAATTCAGAATAATTTCCGTTTGGGAAGTGGGTTGACTTTTTGGCTTTTTTAGCTATTTTAGCCTAGGCTAAAAAGCTTGGTTTGGAAATGACTTTTTGACTTTTTTGACTTTTTTTGTGAGAGAGTGTGTAATGATTATGGGTTGGATGTGATGTTTTGTTTGTTGTGACTAAAATAGTCAATTTTGTCTTTTGTGGCTATTTTAGCCACAAACCAACTTACCAAACAACAATTGTGTTGATGGCTTGGATTTCTTGAACACAATTATGAAGTAAATTGTACAATTCTTAACTAGGCTATGCATTGATAACATAATAAGTTAGTTTAGAAGTCTAAAGCGTCATTAGATCAGGTTACAGAAAAAGTGAATCTAACCTAATCATTTTGCTAGCCTTCACACACAAAAATTCAATCATAAGAAAATATTAATTCTTCACAAAAGTTAAGCTTCCATTGTTAACAAGACTAAGGCTTGGTTTGGCATAATAAAAAAAAGTCAAAAGTTAAAAAGTCACCATCCTATTTAAGTCACATCATCTTATTTCAGTGACATCACCTTTCTACCACATCACTTCAAACCCAATCCATATTTCATAAAAAGTCAAAAAATACATTTATTTAGTGTATCCCAAACCCCTAAAAATAGTCTTCGTGCTCAATTAAGTTGATGGTCTCCATGACAAGCATGTTGTTGATCTCCATGCGCATCCCTGAAAAAACATATAAGATGGTTCAATCAAGTTGGTGTAAAAATTCCAATGTTTCATTGACCTGCACATTACATATACCATGGAAGTTATTATATAACAATCTCAAAAGACTACAATAGAAGAAAATAGTAGTACCATATTTGGCTGCCCATATTGACTGATCCCATATATATTAGGTTGGCCATTCATGGTGGACCATGTGAGCGATCCCCAGAACCCGTGTGTTTGAAGTGATTATTGCAGATCAGAAACCTAACATATACAGTATAAGTTGTTGTAATTCACTTCAAACTCAGCACAACCTATCGATCCTACTATCAATAGTATTGTAGTCTCAAAATCTAAACAATAATAATTACATTAAAGTTCGAATTTTCTTGTGTTCGAGGTGTTGGGATCGGGGATCCCGCCCAAGACCTTCCAGAAATTATACCAAGTAGAAAAACACACCCACACAGAAGGAGACACCATATTTAACGTGGTTCGGCCTTAAAGCCTACGTCCACGGGAGAGTAACCGGTTATCACTATAACAATGGAGAGATTACAGAAAGATTATAATAGAGGAGGAGCTCACACCCTCCTCACTCACCCACTCCCCCGTCTCCCTCTCTCACACCGAGAGAGACGGTCTCTCCACCTCACATCTCTCACTCTCTTCTCTCTTGGTTCTCTCTCATTGTCTACTCTCCTCTCAACCTCTATTTATACATATCATGAGGGAAGGTAGCTGGACAGCAATGGTGAGTGGATTGGTTAGTGGGGAGGTGCCACTCCCACTCTCTCTAAAGTGGTCTCCAACCACCCCACTCTCTCTAAGGTGGGTTAACCACTCACATGGGATGATAATAACATAGCCAACAAATCACCCCCTCAACCCATGTGAGGTGATAAACTGCACACACTGCTGCTAATCTTGTCACGCCCAAATTTCAACAGAATCTTCATCTCCTCATTGAGACGCTACATCCCCTGAAGCTAGAGATAATACACCAGAGATACAAGAAGAGGAGGGAATCCTACATCCTCAACTCAACTCATACCACTCTCTGATTTGGAGAGAGCCTCTGCTCCTATCTCCCTCAGATCTCTTCTACGCTTCCTGTCTCGGATGTCTTCACTTGCTATGCTTGAACTTGCGCAACCAAGATATCTTGACACCCCCTGATTGGATGTCCTGCACCCCCTGCTCGGGATACCCTTGCATTACCGTGCAACTCCTTGCATTACCGTGCAACTCCTTGCATTACCGTGCAACTCCTTGCATTACCGTGCAACTCCTTGCATTACCGTGCAACTCCTTGCATTACCGTGCAACTCCTTGCATTACCGTGCAACTCCTTGCATTACCGTGCAACTCCTTGCATTACCGTGCAACTCCTTGCATTACCGTGCAACTCCTTGCATTACCGTGCAACTCCTTGCATGATGAACACTGGAGCAACTAGAAAACTTCAGAGTTTGACACATCAACATCCTCAATTTTCCTTGCTCGGAGCTTATTTCTGAACAACCAGCCTTTGCTTTCTGCACTTCAGAACAACTTCCCAGCGATCTCATACGCCCATTGTCTGTGCTGCAATCCCTGATGTTCGGTTCTGTCTCACTTGTACGTCCGTTTTGCCTCATGTGTGAGCATGTTTGTTAAGCTTGTGTTGACTTGTTCTTAGCATGTATTTAGGGTTATTTCAGCATGCCTCAGATCTTTTTTGACTTGGTTTGGTCATTCCATGCATGCCTTATACACTTGTAGTGTAAATCTTGCAAACTAGCTTTGTGTGCCTCATGTTTGAGCTTGTCTTTCTAGCTGGTTTTGGGGCCATCTCAGTAGGTTTTTGGTGTTATTTTAACATGCTTTAGATCTATTTTGGGTTAGTTTTGTTGGCTCTTGCATGCCTTATACACTTGTAGTGTAAATTTCTTAAACTAGTCTTGTATGCTTCATGAAGTAGCATGTCTTTCTAGCTTATGTTGAGTCCATTTTAGTATATTTTTGGTGATGTTTTGCCATGTCATACCTCTGTTTTGGTTTGGTTTGGTCACCTCTTGCATGTTCCATGCACTTGTAGTGCATTTCCATGAATTAGCCTGACATACATCATGCTTTAACATGTCATTCTAGCATGCTTTTGGCTTAACTTCAAGAAGCTTTTGTCCATGTTTTAGCATGCTCTAGCTCTATTTTTTGTTGTTTTGGTCATGCATGACTTGCTTCGTATAGCCATGGTTCAATCTAGCTTGTTAGCTTTGTGCACAAAATCCATTAGCATGCTTTACTTGGACTATTTGAATGATTTGACATCATTTATTATGTGATTTCAGTCCATGTTTCATGCTCATACACTTGCATCTTTCACTTATTCAATGCGTTGGAGGGTTTGCCCCTTTATGCCTTAACATGAATCATTGCGTATGCCTTCATGCCTAAGCTTGCGAGCTATCATTTCAATGTATTTTTGGGGTTATTTTTCCATGATATAACTCTGATTTTTGTTGGTTAAGTCATCCCATGCTTGGTCTTAATAGGTGTAGTGTAATCCACCTTATTTGCCTTGTATGCATCATGCCTCATGCCCTTCATGTTAGCTTGTTTTGGCTTCCTTCCATACATGTTTTAGTATCATTTTGACATGTTCTAGGACTGTTTTAGGTTTCCTTTGCCATATGCTTCATGCTTTGTATAGCTGTAGTGCAATTGGCCTTGCTAGCTTTGTGTTTTGATGACTCATGCATGTTATCTTTGAGCTATTTAGATGATTTGGCATCATTTAATACTTTATTTCAGAGCATGTAGCATTGCCATATTCCCACTTCTTTCATGATTTAAGTGCTTAAAAAGATTGTGCATTATTGCCTTGCTTATGGCCTAGCTTGTATGCTCTCATGCCTTGACCTTTGAGCCCCCTAACTTAGCATGTTTTGGTCATTGTCTTGACCTATTTCAGCTCTGTCCATGTTTGGTTCATGCGTTTGTGCCATGTATTGCATACCCCCTTTGTAGTCCTCCTTATTAGCTTTCATGCTTTAGGACCTTTGCATGCTATACTTGTGGTTGTTTGAATGATTTGGCATCATTTCACACTTAATTTCAGTGCATTTAGTGTTGTTACACTTCTGCATTTGTCACTCCTTGAGCCTTCTTGAGAGTTGTCCTCTTAGGCCTAGTCGAATGGCCAATGCATTGTGCATGCATGCCTTGCCTTTTGTGCCTTTATTTTGATGTTATGGCCACTGATTTAGGCATGGCTGAGGTCT